GAAGAACAAATTAACGATGACGATGAGCAAGTCGGTTGGGAAAATGATCGCTATACATTTTACAGAAAATACCTTAAAGACTATCCATACTTATTGGACAGACGTGTTTCACCTGATGAACATGGTCAATGATTATTAAACTGTTTAAGATATAACACTACACAATATTGTAGCTAAAAGTGTTAACTGATGTGTAGTTGAATTATGTAATGCATAAATATATATTAAAAATATGTAGTTGAATAATGCAATCTGTTACACACACACAATTGTTAAATGTATCCAATAAGTACAAATGATAATGGTCTATACTTGATAAAATATTCTTCATCAATTCATCTTCAGGAGCCGGTGGATTAGAGATATCTTCTATAATGTTGTTATGATAACTCCCAGTGTCTGATTGAATACGAAATACAATAGTAGTCAGTCTGGTAGCTTGTTGATTTTCATACAACAGAGTGATACTTAAGAGAACTGGTTCAGAACTTAAAACTAAATTATATACGTCATTTTCTATAGTGCTCCATAAACCCATGTTTAGATGCGGATTTTGGGGAAAGAAATTTCTCTGATCTGTCGCCAAACCTCCTAATCTATCAGCTATTATGTGTCCAGCCTGATCGTGCCTGTTACCCATTCCTCGTACATAATCTCGAATTTTTTTACCAATACTGTCTCTTGGTGCTCCACTCGGTTTCAAATGTCTACGATATATCCGAGCCTCGACGACTTCAGTTCGAGTATTTGGTCCAATTTGGTAATATAAAACTGGACTATCGTTTAAATTGTCTGTTTCTCGTCGTAATTACGGTACAAATCCAATCATAAAATCACTGATAAAATCACAATTGTACGATGGTGATCTCTTTGTACGGATTTCTGTTTCACATTTGTCTCTTTGAAAACATGAGCTAATCGATTTAGCGGTTATTAAACAATCATTTAAATTGTGAGTTATGCCGGGTTCAATTGATAGTGAGTGCCCTTTACAATCGGAACCATCGTATATTCTTAAACATCGGTTTCTAGTATCTATAGATTTTACATCATTTATTATGTTTGTACAATTTTTCCCATTGATTGTTTGACTGTTGCAAATGCCCAATAAATTATTCTTGTTACAGTAGACAAAACCACCATTTTCATGTTGCGATGATTGTTTTTTACCAAAATAAATATAGTTATGGTAAACGATAAATATTTCCAAAATAATGTCATTTTAATAAATCGCATACAGTCGAACTCGATTGACTCGGAAGTCGAAAGGACCGGATAAAAAGTTCGAGTTATCCTAAGAAAATGTCGAAATATCTATTTTTTTTTCAATACAGTACAGTATATTAATTCCTATGTATTCATTATAATATGTAATGAAAAATGTTTACCGGACGCGAAGTGATTGACCATATTTTGTACCCGTTTTGGGCGGTCGCGACACCTAAAAGGTTGAGAACCGGTGATGTACGTTAAAGGATAATGAATCTCAGTCGTGTAGCAAACCAGTCGGACAAACCGCTTACCGGTAACGACTATCGATAGCACTAACGAGTCAGGGATCCGCGAAAACGAAAATGGTTCGGCGTATCTATGCATTCGGTACGTAAAATATCGAAATAACTTCAAATGAATAACTTTTTAAATTCGAGTTGACTGGTCAAATTAAAATAACAGTACCGAAACAATTGATTTTTTCTCAAAAGTTTATTAAGTTTGTTAAGTCTAGTAAGACTCTACTCCCATTTCCGTTGCAAGTGCTGTTGAATCTATAACAATTTTTTTTAAAAGATTCTTCTGATCTCAGTTCTTTTAAATGTTCCAATAAAGTTTCTAAAATGCCCAAAGCTAAAGATATGTCAAAATTCGGTTTTCGCAATAATTTACTGATTGGATTTATATGATTAATTAATGTATAGTGGAGGTCGGGCCCCTCTTTCAAATCTATAAATGCAATTTTCAATCTATTCTGGTTATTTAAACTGTTGACTTTTAATATGTTATCATAGTCACTCCCTTAATAACGAAAATATATACATTACTTATGTGAATGCATATAATAACGTATCCTGAGCAAATTAAGTCTATCAAGATTAAAATCCAAGAATCCGGATTTTCGAACTATCCGAACACGTCCTATACTTATGCTACATTTTTAAGGTATATTAATAATATTAAATCCCATACATTTTTATCATATTTTAGTTATCATAAGCCGATAATAACAATTATTAAAGATGATTATAACGATGAAAACAAATCAACTGTCGCGGAAGTGTAACATGTAAAAATGAATAAATAACTGATTTTATAAACAATTAATTGTCATTTTTGAGTTTAATTCAAATCAATAATTAATTTATTAAAAGAAGTTTTCACTTCTGTCTATCGTTCTGTATTTTTTTTAATACTTCGTAATAGGTATCCGATTTTAGGTGTTGAGTAAACAACTTATTAAACAAGTAGAAATACAATTTCAGGAGTTGAATGAGGAGTCAACATTGTGTACAAATTTAGGAACCACTGGGCTTTCTTATCAAATATTGTCAGCGGGACGGCCGGAACGTACGATCTTCTCCGATTTACTTGCTTTGTATCTATGTGTTGGATATTGGGTTTTTAAATAAATAACATCAATTGTAACATTTGAAGAAAAATAATCGTTCACATATTCGTAATGGCATCGTCGAGTTCGTCTTCAGTGCTGGAAGACTTTGAAACCCAGTTGGAAATGTTTGTAGAAAACGTTAGGCAAATAAAAATTATCGTGTCTGATTTTCAACCCCAGGGACAGGCAGTTTTAAATCAGAAAATGTATAAGTGAATTTATTCTTGGGTACTTTTTCGTTATTGGGACTACATTTTTCAATAAAATAACGGCATTCACCCACGAATGAATGTTGCTGTTGGCTCCATCTCGCATTTCAAATTTTAGATTTACAGTTGCGACACTTAATTCCTTACATCATTATCAGGTTTGGACCCGATGGTCGTGTGTCTATATAAAGTTGAGAAGCTATTAGGTCAGTAGTAAAGTAATTATTGGTCATCACACAAGTACCCATAAAATGTCAACATTAAATACAGTAAGGTAAGTTTTGATAAATTTAGCAATAAAAATTACTCATTTTGGCAAAACAATTTGTAAAAATATTAAATTCTAACTTTCCTTTAAAAAAATGCTATTTTCAAGACTTATGTATAAAAACTTAAAAACTGTATTATAAGCATAATCTTATAATTAATTTGGTAATTGACAATGTACAAATAATTGGATAAATGTAGTCCCTTTAACAGGAAAGTACTGTTATTTGTAGTTATTTTGTGATGTTAATTCTCTTCCATCATTGTAATTTTGAAATGTTCTTTATGATTTGCAGACAAAATGCTATAACTGGATTGCAAGAAATGAACAAATTGAAATCCAATATTCAAGATATACATGTGCCTTTGGAAGTATTTGAGTAAGTATATTAGGTACTTGTCCCAATTAAATTAACTGTAAGCAGATCTAGAACTTATTATTTGCGTAAGAATTTATGTAGTATACAAAAATGTATTTAAATCCTGAACAATGTAATAAATTATAAAAATTATAAATGTATATTATGTACTGTTTCCAAGTCTCAGTATCTCTGTACAAAATATTTTCAATGGAAATAACTCTTGGATAAAATATCTCTAACTAAAAATTGTAACTTGAAACTTAAATCTATTTAGTTTAATTACCTTTACTTAATTAATTATTGTTAGAAATATTTCAACAAATATTAACATTTATATTACTAAAAAAAACAACTAATATTGATATTAATCCTTAAAGTTTTTTTTTTTTTTTAAGACATATTTTAACTGACAAAATATATTATTGTAATTTAACAATTTTTAGTTCAAGTTTATTTATTTATTACAATTTTATAGGATTAGTTAACAGTTATTGTCTGCCTTATATCATGTGCTATATAAATTATTCATAGGTTTAATCATAAACTCATAATATTTGAATTAAGTAATTAAAATACTTTAACAAAAATTGGATTTCAAATGTTTACACAATTGAATTTTAATTAAGTACTTGACTAGAGTATAAATACCACCATTTCACCTGATAGTTATAAATATAATATTGTAATATCAAATATATAACTTATAATTGATGATATATATTTTATAGGTACATTGATAAAGGACATAATCCTCAACTCTATACTAAATATTGTATAGAAAAAGCTTTGCATAAAAATGAACAGGTTAAAGGAAAAGTAGATGCGTTTAAAAAATTCAAAGCAAATGTACTCAATGACTTAGTACAGACATTTCCTAATGAACTCAACAAATATCGTGCTTTGCGTAGCAGTTGTTTTGATACCAATTATGCCGTGACATCAATACCAACTGTGAATCTACCATTGGGCACTCTGCAAAGTGGATCAAATAATATACATCAAAGTCAATCAGCTGGATCTCAGCTTGGAAAACAACAGATAAATAATTCTTCCATAGTATCAGGAGTATCTTGTTTGAACAATTCTCAACAGCAATCAAATGTTCCAAATATATTATCGTTATTAGGTCATGATGGAGTTTCTACTGTGTCTGCCGGAAATAATAGTAACAATATACATGGGCCTCTAGATACCCAGTAGTACTTAATTTCGTAACTTAAGTATTCTATGAAATATTATTTCATAATATGAATAATAGTTATATGCATATATACAATAATAATATTAATATTTATTTAACAATATTATTTCTATTGTAATTTATTTAAATGCAAATTTAATGCATATTTTATTGCGTATTAAAAGATATAAGGCATTTTTGTTTTAGTTTTTTTTTCACGTAGGTATTTATTTATTGATTAAATTTTTAGAATTATTAATAGTGTTACTATTAATTAAATTAGTAATAATGTTAAGTAGAATTTAAAAGAAGACTTAAATAATAGTTGTTTTTCATTCAATTTTTATATACCTACATTATAGAAATATTTTATTTCCAGTTTTATAGAATTAATTTCCTTACATGAAGGAAATGAAAAAATGTGTTTTTTATCATTATTTACTAACTTTAATTTAATTTATTAAAATATTAATTGTTGTTGATAAACTTAAAAAGTCTATGGGAAATTGATTTCTAATATCTGTGAAAGAAATTATTTTTGTGCATGTTTCAAATATTTACTATAGTTCAGTTCTAGAACTGAACTATGACAAAATGAATCTGGGATATGCCAAACATGTAGTGTAGTTAATAGTTACTATTTTGTGAATGAAACTGTTGACAGTAATTACTTATATTTACATATTAGGTATTCACAGTAAACATATTATATAGCTATTGTATTTTTTAAATCTGTCTTGAATAATCTACTAAATTAAGAAAATACAGGCGAACTTCTTTAACTTTTTAAATTAACTCTATTAATGTTTTGGCAGCCGAACTTCGGAACATGCTTAACCAAGTGAGATATATATCACTTACTACTGATGTTTGGACAGAGATCATGCAAATATGTAGTTACATTGGTATAATTGTTCATTTTATTGATGGAACTAACATTGAATCAGGTAAAATGTCATCATTTTTAGATGTATTTATTTATTTTTTCGTAACTATTAAAAATAAATGCTTTAGGAGCCATTGAAGTAACTAAGTTTGAAGGAAGTCATACTTCCAAGTATTTGAGTGAAGTTTTTGTTAAAACATTATCAGAATGGGGTATTGAAAAAAATCATGTAGTGGCTGTAACTACAGATAGCTGGGCTAATATTAAAAAAGCTAAAATTGACGAATTTGTCGAAAAACATACTTGTTTTGCACATACCATAAATTTAACAAGTGATATTTTTCAACATTTAATTTAATTATTACGAAAAATTATACTAAAATATATAACATATAATAGTATAATAAATTATTATTTTTATATAGGTACTTAATTTTGAAAATTAAATTGGGAAATTTATAAGAGACTGCACCTTTACGCTGTTTTTTTTTTTTATCAAATAACCACAATAACTTTGTATCAGTGATTATAGGATTTTATAATGGGTATAAATGGGTAAAATTTTTCAGACCGTTTTTTCAGTTAAAAAATATCAAACAAATTGTTGTGTAGTAGGTGTGTATTTTCGGTGCCGTGCAGCAACGCATTTGTTGAACGCGTTTTCAGCCCCACGAATAGTTTGTGGATGCACGAGCGCAGTCTTCAGGAGTTGATAATGTCAAAGCCCAATTACTTAATATATATAATTGTTCGGAATTTTTCTAAGAAATAGAAAATTGTAAAAAAAAAAATAGTAAACGCTGCGAAAAGTATTACAACTAAATATGAATAATTTATCTAATAAGTACCCGCTTTATTATTATATATTTTTTATGATTATAACCTATGCACCTATACACCTTTAATGTAATGTTAAATAAAAATTCATGAAAAATGATTCCCCATTTTTTTTTTTTTCTGGTACCCTTGGGCTGATAATTTTTAAGTGTTCGATTGTAGGTTCCAACGCATTTCCGAATGTGTTCCGGTCTCAAACTGTGTACAAACAAATGTGTTTGACCCCCTCGTTGAGGGTATTTAAAACGGCGTATTTAATTTGGACAAAAATTCTCGAGTAATTTTCGGCCGAAATTACCATTTAGGTGTTGCTTACACAAAGCTAATAAAGGTCACTTTCTGTGTCTCGTTTTCGATTAGAACTCTTTTTGTCCGTTATAATTTGCTCTAATCCTTCATACTAGCGTTTTGCTCTTACGGACCAGAAATAATCCTCGTATTATGTTTTATGTCCGCTTAAATTTTCAGAAAAATATTATAATAAATAGGTAGGTACCAATAAAAATATATATATATAATTGCTATCGGTATTAGGTACACCTGAAAATCTATAGGTTGCAATAGGTTTTAGAAATAATACAAAATAATCATTGTATCTATTTGACCAATACAATCACAGAAACAGTTACTTATATATTTGTTGAAAAATAACATTAATTAATATAAATTATTTAATTTCAAAATAACAAATAATAATTACAAGGAGCATTGGAAATATTGAAATAAAAATATTATCTGGTAGGTAGGTATGGAAATATTTTTTTAAACACCAGCCATAGAATTTCCAAAGTTAGATAGGCAATTAACAGACAAGTTGAACAATTTCAGGAGCTGAGTAGGCAACATTGTATACAAATTTGGGAAGCACTGGGTCTTCTTATCAAATATTGCTACCAGAACGTATGTGTTAAATTTTAAAATATTTTAAATCTGAGTAGGCAGAGAAATATTATTGTATATATTTTCACTATCATAGTTTCTTTAACTGTGGTATTTTGAATAAGTACGTTATAGTTATTATATTTTGTGAAACATTTGTATCTGGTAAGCATATTCATATTAAATAAATACAAACTTAATATTTAATACTTACTTAATTAAGTATAAAAACTATTATTTAAACTATGTGACAAAACTTAAAACATAATCACTTGAATCAAACAATGAATATACAATATTTTATTTTTATGTCTTATTTGATATGCATAGGTATGTTTGAAACAGTTTCATTTTTTTATTTTCAGTTTATAAGTAGTACAATACAATTTGACATTATGGAGGCTTTTTGGAAATATGTGCGCGAGCGTTTCATTCTACCTGACTTAATTCATTTAGCTGATAGTGATAATGACACTCTCAAGTTATTAATGTTCCAAACCGGACCTAGCAGAGACGAATTTATTAAGTTTTTTGTATACAAATTATTGTTGCATATCGACCCAGAGTCTGAAGATTTAAAAAAAACACAGTAATTAATTATAAATATATTAAATCATTTAAGAAATAAATTTTAATATAAATATTGTACTATTCATTTTAGATTTAGAAAATATATTTGTATCATTTGGTTTATTAAGTGAAGAAGAGGCTCAACAATTTTTAAAAGTAAGGACGATATTAATATTAAAAATTTACTCTTGACAGTCACAGTGGTATTTGCTGTATTGGTCTTTCTAACATTTAATATAAAAATAATGTGTTTATGTAAAATTAGTAAATTTTGTAGGTAAACCTATATAGGTTTTAGAGATAAACCTATTATACAATTTGTATATGGCTACATTTTGAAGACAACAAAATTGTCTTTTTTTGAAATACTAATTGATAAATAGGTAAGTTATTTATTTAAAAAAAAAAAAATTTAAATATGATTATTATAACGTCAATAATGGATTAAACATTGAAATATTTGTAAAACACTGAAGAGTACACCTTTAAAATGTTATCATTTGCAAATTTTATAGTGGGTATTTTATTTCTAAACAAATTTTATTTTACATGATCAAATTTTTGCTATAATGCTTGTTAGAAAGGCAAGGACTAGATCATTATTATTTCTCTCAATTTTTCTTAATAAAATTTGATTTAATTGACATAAACTGTATTATTTGTTGTTTTTATATAATTTAAAAATGTTATATATTTATCAAATATTTTTCATTTGATAAAAACATATTTCCTTTTAATTTTAGGGAATTTTGCCAACAAAGGTGCATATAGCTATATGGATGAAAATTATCGAAGTTTTAATACCAATAACAAAAATTGAACAATCTTTAAATGTGTCTAATTATGATGAAATGATAAATTATATTTATGAAAAGAATTTACACTTTCAAGTAAGAGAATAAATACAAGTAATATAACAATGAGAGTATGCTTAAATTAAAAACGGGCCATAGTGTAAAATAATAATAATAAATAACAATTTCATTTGATTTGGAAATGATAAAATTTATAATTTTTTATTTGTTTACTAGTTGCTACTTACAACATCTTTAATAAGTAGGTTTTTGTTGCAACCTCCACACAATAAATGCAAAAATTAATTATAAAAACATAAATGTAACCAAATGTTTTTTTTTTTATAATAATATAAATAATATAATATTAATGTATTGTAATATTATTTTATTGGATCAGAGTAATTTGATTGGAAAACTAGAAAATGATCAAGATAAACTTAAAGTACCAAAAATTATTTTAAATCATGTTCTCAAGTTGATTATGATTTCAAATTTCAAATTTCAAAAAAAAAAATAAAATAAAATATTTCTTATATTATTATTCTTGATTAATATAATTTTGAGTCTATGAAAGTTTCTATTTCATATTTTGAAACCATCACACTAACACACTTACTATACCATTGATAAATGTAAATAAAATAAAATAATGAATTCTTCTAAAATCCTCTTAATCCTATTTTCAGGGATTTTAACAAGGGTTTTTTTTGTTTACACGTTTTTCATATTTTTGTTTTCTATTTCATCTTTAAATTAATATAAACATGAACAAAAAGAAATAACAATATTACATTCAAATTTTTTTTTTATGTAAATACAACTTATGTTGTACCTAATTTAAAATTTTGTGTAGATCATGTTGAGTATTTTTACAGGGCTAAGAAATGTAGTTCACATAAACCAGAATTATTAAATAATTCACTTTCAACTGTTTTGAAATGAAACTATACCGCATTTAAAAAAAGTTTATATTAAACATAATATATTTATTTTACTTGTCTTTTTTGGAAATTTTTTACAAATTTGCATATCTATATATGTTTATAAAGCATTTAAAAGGAAAAAAAAAAATGTATTTTTTGTATAGTAACTTTTTAACTAGTATTATTTTATTTTAGTCGGTTGTAAAAAAAAATTATCTTCCTCCAGAACTGATTCCAAAATTAAAGGTTCAAACAGGATTTAATGAAAGCAGTGAAAGTATAGAAGAAGTATATAACGAATTAACCAAGATAATAAAGAAACCTTTCAGATCAGATGAAAAAAATGATAAAAGTTGTGACTTAGTAAGAGTAACTAAAAAAAAAGTATAATTCTAAAACATTTTGATTATTTTCTTATATTCTTAGGAGCAACTACCAAACTACGAAAACCCAAAATTAATGGATTTGATATCTATCAAACGGGAGATTGATCAATATATTCAAATTTCAAGTGAAAATGAGACAGTTTCGATTGATGACATACAATTAAACAGAAAGTCTTTACAAGATTGTTATGAAAATAGTAATCTAGATGAAAAGGTTGACAATATCCTTAAGGTATATTTTATTTAATCATTTTATACTCATTATATGAGTTTTAATACTAATGTTGTTATTAATGTTCTTTTTATGTTTTAGCTCGTGAAAGCTGAAAATGATTTACAAGTATTAGTTAATTCTCTAGTAGATCAGGTATAAACATAATTTAATTGATATTCACTAATATTATTATGCTAATTGATTATACATATTAAATATTTGTATAAGGTAATATCAAACACTGTCATTTTTGTAGTTTTATTATTAAAATGTAATAATCTAGGATGAAAATGAGTGTTTGAAAAAATGTGTGTATTTGTAAATAAATTATCTCATATTATTTTAGTAACATAAATTTGATGTAAAGGATCTTTGGAAATAATTTATTTTTAACTAGATGTAATATATTTTAATTAATATTAAATTATAAATAATCAATCTTTATAATTCAGCAGTTAACATTTTGTGGATGATAACTTAATTAAGATTTTGGAATTTTTTCTGTAAAACTACCAAATTTGTAAAATACCTGGGAGAGAAATTTTGTTTATTGTATGGTTTTTAATTTTTGGATGGTACAAATACTATTTAATTTATTAATTTGCAATATTTTTTTGTTGAAAACTTAAAACTATTTGCTTTATTAAAATTACAAAATTGTTCCAAATCGAACTGATTTTTAACATTGTAATATAATAAATAATAATAAATGTATGTACATGTACATTTTCAGAGTTGATGTCCTTATTATTCTTAATATTATGTGTATAGTTAGATTACATCGTTTATTTGTATTTATACTTTAAAATATTCCATTTTTAGTCGACCATAATATTCGATCATGAATGATGCGAACAAATTAAGTTTTACTATGGTGTTTTTTTTCTGGCTGTTAACAATTGCTAGCAGTGGCGTACTTGACAGAGGAGAAATAGGGGAACTTTCTTTCCTCCAAGACTTTTTTGACAAAGATAGGTAAATTAATAATAAAAATAAACATGTTGTAATATTAATAATAATTAAATTTTCAACCACAAATCTTGTTTCCATCATCAATACAAAGTGTGTTTGTTTAGTTCTCTGGTCCTTGTATACAACCTAGGTAAATGTAATATATGTGTGAATTATACTGGTGATATCGCTCCTTCTCTCAAGACTAACACTCAAGTGTGTCACTATGTTAAATTTTATTATTTTATATTTTAATTTTGTCTCTTCTAAATTAATTTTTTAATATTCTTCTTTTTCTTATTAACATTAAATTTGAACATTCCTTACACGGACATTTTTACCACCCACCCTTCTAAATTTATAGCCGCTATGCCTAGTGTAATCTAACTATGATTTTTGGAACATTGTACTGTTTTATATTCTGAGCGAAGCAAGTATTGTATTGGTTTTACCATGAGTCTTTTTCCTTTTTTTTTTTTTATATTGTGTATATAATTTCTCCTAGAAAACTTGTTTTAATCGAAAAATTACAAGAGGACTTTTTTGTTGCATTTTGGTATTCTAGGGAAGTAATTTTTTTTATTTTCTAAGTAGTCTTCTTAATTATTGGAAAAAAAACCGTAAGGATAAATGAACAATATTTAAGATGCAAGAATTTCATGGTTTTACATTTTTGTAGCGTATGTTTTTAACTAAAAATATTGCTTTAATCAGAAAATGACAAAAGGACTTTTTTGTCATATTTTGAATCTAGTTGCTGACAAAGAAAGTTATTTTTTGAATTTCCAGCAGTTTTCATAATAATAGGGCAAAACCAAAAAAAAAAAAAAACGAAACCCATAAACTTACGATATGAATGTTTTCTTTATTTTACATTTCGATATTATACATAGATCAGTTAAAAATATGAAATTCTATGATAGTAAAATATTACCTACTTGATTGTTACTTACACGAAAAAATATGTGCTCTTTACTGTGTAATTTGTTGTACCTATTCAATATGATAATTGTATTTATTTTACAATAATTTGAGATATATAATATATTATTGAATAAGCAATACTATTAACCGAGTTTCTCAGAGGATTACTTTTTGTTAGCAATGATTAATCATAGCGTGCAGATATAAATTAAATTCCTTCATATATACTACGTTTCTAGCTTCTTTCCTACAACAGTGGTCTACCCATGGTGTGAAGTGTGTCTGTCTTTTTAAATTTCTATACCAGATAATAATCTCAAAACAAATAACTAAAGGCCGTTACACACATATGATTTGGTCGGGCTGACAAATAGTCTGACCAAATCGTGTATAGCTTACAGACATCACAACAACCAATTTAGTCAGCCGAATTCATATCCACTTGTGTTTGCAAATCGATTTTGTTCATAAACGAGTGTTACAAACCGATTGAAACCTGATAGTTCTTTATAATACATGATTCGGTCGGTCAGTCAGGGGATCAGATGGTACAGTCACTTGACAAGACCCGACAAGATTAAAGTTAGACGACACGCCTACACACGACCTGATATTACAGCTGATCTGACCAATTTATCCTGTCTGCCCGACTAAATCATAATATATTGTGTAGCGCCCTTAACAATAAGTATTATCCTCACCTATTTTACTTATTTCTTTCTATTTTTGGTACCTACCTACAATTTTACATTAACGATTTGGGTAGGTGTGACATTTTTTTCGAAATTCTCACTTATAAATATACTAGCGAAAAATCGTGTTATTTAGAAATAAAAAAGTTTGGTACTGCGAGACTTCGAGAGTGTCAAGAGTTGAAGTGGTTACTACCTACCCATTTACCTAGCTTAGTGTCGTTAAGTGATTCGGTACTGTCTGGAAAAGTTTACGTCCCACAGCACATGTTCTGCCACCGTGTTTGAAAAGAAACTTTATAACAATTGTATATTACCCGACTATAAAATATCATAAGAGGCGGTCCTAGGACTAGTTAACGGGGGAGGGGGGGATTTTGAAGATTTTTGCGAACAGTAGAATTTTTTAATACCAACGGGGAGGGTGGTAAGGTGGTGAGTTACGATGGGGTGAGATTGAGATTTTACCTATCTACTTAGGTGATAATTAAGTATTTTTTCAGAAAGGTAATATGTACTTAACTTTAATTAGTTACGGCCTGATGTAGGTTTTATTTTAGGATTACAAATATTGAATATGTATTCAGTCTGGTGTAGGGTCATAGGTGTAGATTTGCGATTCGTGTTAAGCTACATCAATTATTTTTCTTTTAGTACATTCCAAGTAGATAAACAATTCAATTTATATGAATCGAATTGTGCACTTATATAGTGCAATATAATAAGTGTAATATATAAAAATGTTTATATAATAAGTAACCTTCACTTCAAAAAAAAGAATAAAAAAGATAAAAAATCGACTTCAAAAACAATAAAAGGATTTGTTGACTTAGTGTGTCATTGTTGTAGGTGGGAAGTAAGGTGTATACTGTATAGGTAGGAGGTAGAAGGTACCTTTAGGAACGATATCTGAGAATAGAGCCATTTGATTTTTTAATTTCAACGATAAATCGTTATTAAACGATCTAAAACTAGAATATTTACACTATAACAGTTTATATTATATCCAATTTTGCCCTTTTTCAGTAATTTAGTGAAAAATAATCGTTAAGATCTAAAATTTCATCGAATACCTATTCCAGGCAAATGGTAAAATGTTTGAGTTTCCTTAAGCTATTTGAAATTTACGAGTTCTTTTAGTTTTTATTTGATTTATCTGGACAAAATTTGTTTGGCCTATCGAAAATGCTCGAAAATTTAACTCAAGTTTTATCATAAAAAGTTAAGCGTTTAATCAAGTTAATATGGTATTTTTATTTTTTAATATGCATTTAAAGTTAAAATTTTAATGAAAAAGCATTTTAATAATGCAAAAATATGTATAGTCCCATGCGTTAAAATAAAAATAAACATTTTTGTAAAACTATAAGTTTCTTCGCTCCACTCGGAATCTAAAATGTGCAAATATAATTATAATAAGGTTCAAAATGTTCGTCGTCGAATAACAATTCAAACCAAAATTTTGAAGTCGATGTTAGCAGTGATAACAATATATTTCGAAAGGAAATAAGTCTTAAGATAGATATGATCTCATTGCTACCCATAGAATAGGGCGTGATTAACAAAATCGAATTTGATTCAGTATAAATTTTGTCCCGAGTTCCCCTACAATTTGTTTTGCTTGTTAAATATGCTAACATTGCTCTAATTTTTAATTTTTTTTTTTTTTATAAATTCGGAGGTTTATCCAATCTGACCTACCCTCGTATTTTTGTACTGCAGTAAAATCCCTTTTACAGACCACACACGAGTACATACCTACTGTGCGATAAGTACCTATTGTATAGTAAGTAGGTATAATAAATATGAAAATTATATTGAGGGGGAAAAATAAACGTTGTACCTCCCCTTCCGAAATTCGAAAATAATAAAATATGAACTGAAGTCGGCTGCGAGGGATTACACAGACTGCAGTTATGTACGTTCAATCGGTCTAAGTACTTTTTTTTAGAAGTTTGGCGCCACCGTATATCGCGTTGTTATTGTGTGTTTATGCTAATCGTTGCTTGTTTTTTTTTCTTTTTTTTTTTTTTTTAATAATAATTGCATTAAAATAACAATATAGATGTAGTGCAACACGGACGTGATACATTAAGTCGTTGACAATATTTTTCAATAGGTACCTATACAACATACATATTACATATTAGGTATAGACAATTACGTAATATGTATCGGTGATATTAACATAATATTATTATTATCAATTTATATTATGTACCTAGTTGAAAAACAAAACGATTTCGGTGTTTTTTTTCTTTTGTTTCATTGAAACAAATGCCTTGCATCTGTAGGCGCCATTTCAAATATGTGACAATAAAGTACTAATTTACAACATATTATATTTTACGTTACTTATACGTTACCTACATTTACCCAAAAATATTTCTCTTTTTTCTTTTTAGAAAATTGCATAAACCGTTGGCGAGAAAACGTTCCTCGTCTTTACCTAGTCTTCTATTCTGTTGTACGGTGTCGTAACACGTCTTATATAGTCGTATTGTATCACGTATTTTCGGTCATAATTCCTAATTAGTAATCAGTGTAAAAGTGATCTCTGTCCGAATATACGCCTTAGAGGACTATAGCAAA